TTGGGTTGTCGCAAATTGATACGAGTTTTCATTTTTTTTATATAATTTAATCTAAAAAAATTTAATTTTTATGATTTGAATTAGGTAATTGGAGTTTACGAACACTAAATTTATTAATCTTTCTTTTAATGGTAAAGAAAAGAATTGAAATGGAAAGAGAAAAATGATTATTTTTCTGAAAATGGATTGAAAATTGAGAGAGATGTAACAAAATGGAGTAAAATTAAAATTAAAATTAAAATTATTATTTTTCTATTTTTTTGAGTGTTTAGTTTAGGAAAAATACGTGGCATATTGTTTTATTTTTCTTCCCGAAAAAAACAAGGATCTGATATGTAGGTGGTCGGTGGGGCCCACTTATCCTGACACCAGTGGAATTTTTGTTTTATTTCTATATTTGCAGTTTGGACCCTCCCCTCCTAATAATTTATCACACAACTCCCTCCTACGTCATCATCCATTTGTGGGCGACGCACCTGTATTCCACTTTATTTATTTATTTTTAATAAAGGAAACATTTTTCTAATATCCCTACATTCTCCAAATCATTCTTCCTATTATCATTTATGTCTCATCTCTTATCATATTTTACTTCTTTTATAGGTGAATTTAAACCATGCTCAAATAGTCTAGCCACCACCTAGAAAGTTCAAAGGTTCATTGCAACTCGAGTTCAAAGGTTCTAGCCATGACCTAGTAGCTTTTGTTACTACAATGAGTTTAAGTTTAATCGAAGATGAAAATTATCATTTTTACGAGTTTACTGATTAAACAAAGCTACTTTGGAGGGTGAAGTTAGATATCTCTAAGTAGGAAAAAAAAAACACATCTTAGCTTTGATCACCTCGGTCGAAAGGTAACGCCGAAAAGTATTGCTTTGAATAACATTTCTTAAGATAAGCTTTAGAGAAACTAAAGGTGTTAGAATGACTAATAAATTAAATGGTTATTTTATAGTTGATCGATCAAACCTCAGCTACAAAAGAAGCAAACCTCAAGAAGATTTAGGGTAATCCCCTTAGGATTTAGAACTTGATCTATATTTTAGTACTTATTCATGTTCTTGATCGCTGTCTTGTTCTTGGTTCTTTTCTAAATTCTTGTATTGTTCTCGTTTTGTTCCCTAAGATACTTCCCTTAGGATTTAGGGTACAAGTCATGAACTTGACAACTTGTGTTATTCATGTTCTTGGCTACTGTCTTCTTCTTGGTTCTTTTCTAACTTCTTGTTTTCTTCTCGTTTTGTTCCCTAAGACACTTCTCTTAGGATTTACGGTACAAATCATGAACCTGACAACTTGTGTTTGAGGCTGCATATGTTCCAAGCGACACAACCTTAACCTATGTCCAAGGCTTCATGTGTTTCAAGAGACGTAGTCTGCACCTTCATCCAGGTCTTCATGGGTTCCCTTCGTAAAACGTACACCCAAGGCTTTTCACATTCCAATCGTTGTAGTTTGAAACCTGTATCCAAGACTTCATGCATTCCATGAGACGCAGTCTGAAAAACTATGCCTAAAGAGTCATATGTTCCAAGCAACATAGCCTAAATACGTACGTCCAAGGCTTCTTACGTTCTAAGTAGTGCGGTCTGAAACCTGCATTTAAGGCTTCTTACGTTCCAAGTGACAAGCGATGCAGTCTGAGTCATAAACATGATGTCCTGTGGGAGATCTAGGAGTTTCTTGAGTTTTTGAGTTTGAGGACCTTGGTTCTTTATTCTTGAGTGGTACCTAGCATTCTTCTCGTCATAGTAGATGTAGAGATTGTGTTGGTCTTTCCCTGGATTCTTGTCATTTTAAGTATTCTCTTAATTTCTTGGGTTCTTAATTCTTGAGGTATAGGTTATAACATACTTTCTTAAGCCCTACTTAAATCTTATAAATTATAAACTCATCACAGTAAAGTCATTCAAGTATCACATCATAACATGACCCTTAGAAGATTCTAGAAGGTTCCTGAATATTGGGTAGGTCATTTGGGGTATTTTCTTTAAGCCTAGCGCCTAACTTGGTTTAGGTTCCAAATTTGATTGGAATAACTTGAAATCTTGAATATATCTTCATAGCCTTTGAAATACGTCTTACTAAAAATTTTGAGTCATTTAGAGGATGTTTAGACCTTGAAATATCTTAAGGAGTCCTAGGGTCATGTCATTTCGTCATTTTGTCATTTTACCCCTAATTTTTAGTTTAGTCTCTAAGTGTCATAGAGAAATTTTGGTCATTTTTCATCGTTCCTTGGTTGGGTCATTTTTCATCATTCTTTGGTTTAGTCATTTATCCTTATCAATGACCCCCAAATTTCATATATTCCCTTAACATGTCCTATTAGGCTCAAATTTAAAATTTCATGGGCAGCTAAGTTCATTTAGTGGGTTGTTTTAATATTACTTGAATCACATGCAAATCGCTCGATTTGGGGCTTTAACTCACAGTTCTTAGTGTTTTTCTTTCATATTCCTTTAATTCATACTTAGCATAAGGTTTATACTAAAATTCAAATGATTCCTACAAATATTTATTAAGAAAAGTCCAAGATGGTTACTTACCTCGTTGTTGATGTTCATAACCTCCATTCTCGAGCTTTCGATACCTGAATCACTCCAAATTTTCTTTGATAGACTCCTTTGAGTGTATAGTTTCTAGAACCACAAAGTCTTTTTTTTTTATGATAACCGGTGTAGAAGGGCATTAGAATTAAGAAAAATGGAGGGAGGGTCAGATTTTGAGTTGGCATGGCCAGTTCTGTTGAACCGGCCACGTCGTCGTCTTCTTCTTCTAGGAGGAAGAAGACGCATGCAAACAATTGTTAGAGAAAATTGACTTATAACTATCTTCCATATTCCATTTTTCTCAATTGTTTCGATCTCTTCTACCATGAATTTCTGCTACTCTTCTTTTTTACTTGCTTCTTCATACCTTATAATGTCTGAAAAAGTAAGAGAAAATTGACACGATGCATATATGTCGGCTAAAGATATATACTCACTTCATGTTGTCTCATTTGAAGATACTTCACAAGAAGAGTGGTTTAGTGATGCTAAAATTGATGTATTTCAAAATTTTATATTGCAATAGAGACATTAAAAGAATTATACAATTTATATTTTCATCCAATATTTATCCTTTTAGTTGAAATCTTTTCATTAGAAGAATTATACAATTTATATGTTTTTGATTGAGTACAATAATCCATGAAAATGCAAAAATTTTCATCAAGCTTTTGACCAATTTGAGACTTTATCAAAGTATAAGCAACACAACCAAAAATACATAAATGACTTACAAATGGTTTCCTTCAATGTCATGCTCCAAAAAAGAGTTTGATTCATGACAACTTTTGTTAGTGAGAGATTTAATAAACAGAACAATGTTGTTATAGCTGCTACCCAAAATTGAGTTAGAAGTCTCTTTGCTTGTAACATATCTCATGTCATATCCACAACTATTCGATTTTTTTGTTCAATGATATCATTTTGTTACTTAATGTAAGAAGTTGTTAGCTCCCTTTAGATGCCATTTTATTCGCAAAACAAATTGAATTCTCTAGATTTGAACTCCCTACTTCTATTTGTACGAATAGCTTTAATGGGACAGCTACTTTGGTTCTCCACCAAAGTTCTGAAAATTTGGAACGTCTCAAAAGTTCTGACCTACGATGAAAAAAGTAAATACAGCTCATGCGACTATAGTCATAAGTAAGCAATAAAAAAATAAACACTTCCACTCAAATATTTAGTTTACATTGACCCACATAAATCAACATGAATTAGTTCTAAACAATTTGACCATTTCCGTAGGAAATGACTTCCTAATCGGCCATAGATAATTGAAATTATTTGAATCCATTTTTTATAATTGAAAATCAAACCTTCATCATTGAGTAACTTCATGCCCTTCATATGAATATATCCTTAACTAACATCCTTGTTTATTTTTAAGGTCTTAAACATCTTTTAAGATCAAAGTAACCCTTAATCATGGAGTTGAATTTTCTAATATAAATCATACTTTTAAAAGAACAACTAAACTCCCGTCAAAAGAAAATAAGAACATGAATAAATCATCACTAAATAGATAAAGCTCAAGTCCCTCAAGTACGAAATCTAGATACTCATGATCAACAAAACAAAATCTAAACACAATATGAGATCCATAATATAAAACTGCAAATTTGAGAAAAGTAAGAATAACCTGTTGTCACGCGTCAATCTTAATTGTCGTAATATCTACATTTTCTAGTTTTGAAGTCTCTCCCCTAGCCCTTGAGAAATCCTCCCAAACTCTCTTAATTCAATAAAATTAGTTTAGGAATCACAAACTTGTATATATAGAAATTGTGACATAAATTGTGACAACATTTAGACATTGTTTCCCAACTATGTAACTAACTTATGAAAACGTTGGTAATGTCGAAATGCCATAAGTAGCATTGAGATACTAGGGATGAAACTTCAAAACGGCGTGTTTTGAGCGATGGGGGCGAAAGAATTCCAAACTAAATGCAACAACAAATGGGGTGAAAGAACTCGATCGATTGAGAGAATGGTCTTAACCAATTAACCTAAGTTCGGATTGGCTAATCTGGTTCGTAATTGTAAGTTTAATCACAATTTGAATTATAATACTAAAAAAAACAACTATATTTTAAGTTGTGGCCTTGAATTTGGGTTGAAAATATGAACATAATTAGGGATTGTGGCGTAGGCGTAGGCGTGTGTGGGTGTGGTGTGGGTGTCATACAACTTTTGACAGAAATTGTTTTATGATTTTGGGGTTTCGCTATTTGCTATGTCTCTCTCTGACTCTCTCTATTTTCTTTTCTTTTTATTTTGCATGCGACCCAACATCCCTCCTCCTCACATTTCCCAAATCTTAATTTACTCGTAATTTAATTTATTCATTTTATTATGATTCAAACTCCCCCACCTTCTATAATATATATATATATATATATACACACACACATTTGTATGTATGTAGGGAGCAGCTATGTCTTTCTACCTCTCTCTCCGACCTCATTTCTGTCTCCAACGTCTCATCCTTCAGGTGATTTTCTTCCTCTCTTATGTTTATTCTCAAATGACGTTTATATGATCTGAGAATTCAACTAACTTAAATTATCCAATCAAAATCAGGTTGAGTTAGATTTTTTTTTTCGAATTTGGGTTGGAATGAATTTTTGGAAAATAAAATATTGGGGTTAATTCACAGGTTGACATTTTTTCAATCGAGTCAACTCGAATGACTAAAAAATAAGGCTACAATTCAATCCAACCCAACCCTACCCACTTTTAAGATTAAGAATATTTAACGTTTGTAACTTATGTTAGTAATATATTGTCACTTGTGAATGTTTATATTTGAGTTTGATGAGATTTTAGTTATTACTAGTAGATAGGTATAATTTTTTTATAATAATTTAAAAAAAATAACCCGACAACCAACTTAACCCAACCCAAAATAGAGGGTAGGGTGGTGTAGGGTAGAGTTGGGTTGTAAACTTTATTCGAGTTGTTCGAGTCATCAATCTAACTAACTCTAACTTTTGGATGGTTTCAAAAGATTTATTCAGCCCAACCCAACTCATATACATCAATACTTATTTCAAACCCGAACTAAATTATTTATTATTATTATTATATTTTGGTGTGGTTTTAAAAAACTATTATTTATGATGAAGATATATTTGGTACGAGAAATTGCCAGCTTGTGGACCAAAAAGGACATAAACGATAAGGGAAAAAGAAAAAGAAAAAAAGGAAAACAGACAAAAAAAAAAAAGAAAAAAAGAAAAAATAAATAACATTTATAATATATATATATATATCGACACTGTTGTTGTTTGTGTTGGATTCAATCCAGTGTCGTTTTGAGTTGGTGTTCTGTTTTTAGGCAAAAATCTGAAGATCTACTTGTTCCATGATCCATTTGTAAGGCCCCCAACATTCTCGGAACCAGAAAAACAGCAAGAAATTTCTGAGCATTCAAAATTCTCCTCTCTCTCTCTCTCTCGTAGATCTCCCATGGCGGACGAATCTTACTGTAAACACAATTTGAAGATGGCAATGTTAAACCATGAACACACATTTCGTCACCAAGTACCTTTTCTTCTTCTTCTTCCTCTTTCTCCACTTCCCTTTGTCTCGTCTTTCCTTTTGTTTAACAGCGGCCAGAGGCTTTTTTTGTTGCAGGTTTATGAGCTCCACCGATTGTACAGAATTCAGAAGGTTTTGATGAAGAACATAGCTGAAAACAGGGGAAAAACAGAGGAGGAAGAAGAAGAAGAAGGTGAAGAGATTGAGTTTATTCAGGAAAGTGAGATTGAATTGACATTGGGGCCTTCCAGTTATAGTAATCAAGTTGGAGGGAGGAGAAGGAGGAGAAAGAAATTGGGTGAATTAATGAAAGGAGGTTCCGATTCTTCCTCCTCCTCGACCACTGGATCTGCGCCTAAAGGTGGAATTCTTTATCGAGATGGCGAGTTTCTGGGATTTCTCGAGCTTCAAGATGAAACCCGGCTTGCTCAACACCATCCAAATCCATGGCTTTGTCAAGTTGTAAGCCTTAATCTCACTTGATTTTCATTTTTTATGTTTATTGATTGATTTTGTTTTTCTAGTTTTTATAATTCCCTTGTCATTGGCTGATTGAGAGCCTTATCTGTGTACAAGTTTATAACCGAGTTAATATCATTATCACCCGCCCTTTGCACATGACATACCATCTTGTCGTTGTTGATTTAAGCGTAGTTAGGTGGATAAGGCACAAGTTATCATCTCAAATTCGAAAACGAATGCAAGTTACGATTATGATAGGAATGCATAATACTCATCATCTATGATTCATCAGGTCTGCAGCTGCTCATTTAAGGCTTAAATTAAGCTAAGCTAAGCTAAACTAAAGTAGTAGAAGAATTGGGTATGTGAGATCCTACCTCCGTTGGTGAGGAGAACGAAGCAATATTTATAAGGGTGTGAAAACCTTTCCTTAGCATATTCGTTTTAAAAACCTTGAGGGGAAGTCTAGATGGGAAAATCCAAAGAGGACAATATCTACTAGCACTGGGCTTGGACTGTTACAAATGGTATCAGAGCCTCGAAAGGGGTGGATATAAGACAGTATGTTAGCCAGGACGTTGAGTTCTAAAGGGGGTGGATTTGGGGTCCCACATTGATTGGAGAAGGGAACGAGTGCTAGTGAGGATGCTAGACCCCAAAGGAAGGTGAATTGTAAGATCCCACATCAGTTGGGGAGGAGAACGAGCATTCTTTGTAAGGGTGTGGAAACCTCTCTCTATCAAGAAAGCTTAGAAGGGAAAATCCAAATAGGACAATATCTGCTAGCGGTGGACTTGAGTTGTTCAGCAGGTGGCTCTACCATGGCAAGAACAGAAGATTCCCGTTTCGAAACAAAAAAACAAAATGCATAAAAGGGGTTTGATTAAGGTATAAAATATGGAACAAAACTAAAAAAAGAGCTGAGTTTGAAACATATTCTTTTAGGGACCATGAAGAATTGGGTGAGATAAACCGACCAAAACGTGCTGTTTCTGCAGCTATGTCCTTGTAAGGCGTTGAGTTGGCTGTTTTCACTGCTTTTTTTTTTTTTTTCTAATCCAAAAGCTTTTTGTATAAAGAGATTCAATTATTCAGATTCAGACCGCACTAATTCCCACTCTTCTTTTCATCTCTCCCAAAAACAACAATAAAACTGATTCTCAACCCTTTTATCTTATTACAAACACTAAGAAACAAAGAGGTTTTGAAACAATCCAAGGCTGGCTCAGGATACTGAATGGCGCCGGTCCTTGGCTCGCCTGACTCGGCCTTTCGAGTTTGATGCGACTCCATCGGCACGGACAAACGGGTAGAGGCGACCGAGCCTCTTCGACACAGAATTGATGAATGATTTCTTGGGTGGTGGAGGGTTCTCAGCAGCAGCCTGCAGTTGAGTGTTTGTTTGTGAAGTGCTAATGGATGGCTTCTCAAACTCTCTCAGTTTCATTTTGATTTTGACAACCTCCACCTTCAGTTCCTCATTCTCCCTTCTCAAAATGGAGAGCTCATCTGAAACTGGAGGCAACTCGACTCTGGTGACACCGTCATTCACGACATCTCGTAGCCGTTGCTGCTCGTAATATAGCACCTGCACGACGGTTTGAACGGGAAGGCGATCGTTGTGTGCGGCGTGAGCGCACGCCTGTCTTGATAGCTTCTGGCAGTCCATTAAACTGCATACTTTCTTCCTTTCCATATCACTCAAACCAGGATGAGCCTATGAATAGCCATACAACATGATGATTCAGTAAAAGGGTATCATCAAAAATGGGAATTTGATATTAAGACAGAGTTGTTTCACCTTCAAGTAGATATCTATGGCCCTATAGATTCCATCTTCTGTAGCTCTCGAGTGTTCAGGAACAAGTTCAACAAGATTAATGAATTTTGTGAGAGATAAATTGGGATCCGAGGCAATTTCAGCCATATAATTCTCCATTAATTTTCCCACTCCTTCAAACTCGGCTGATGAGGGGAATGAAATGTGTTGAAACTCAACAAAATTGAGGAGGATCCGGTGAACAGTGTCAACATCAAACAATGTATGTCCAGTGAAGGCATATAAGGGAATCAAAAGATCATCCAAAACAGCCTCTCCTAATTCTGCACCCATTCTCCTCTCCAAATCTAACCGGCAAGCAACCGTTGTCTCGAGATATATCGCTGAACGGAGGAGCATCGACAGAAAGCTAACCGATAACGCGTTTTTCTCCCTTGGCAGAAGACTCACTATTGTTTCCAATACAACTCTCTTCTCATGCTCTTCTTCTGCCTCAATTTTCTTCCTCCTCTTCCCAAATACCTCCTGATGCACTAACTTTGTTTACACAACAACACAAAAACAACAAAAACAAACAAATAAATCGGATCGGATCGAGATCTCACCAAGCCACGGAGCGATTTCTTCGCATACAGCATTAGAACAGGACCAAGAGAGTAATGTTTATAGCCTCTGGACATCATTGCAACAAGAACTCTTTGGAAGATATCAATTCTTAGAACAGTCAAGTCCTCAGCCCACCAATGAGTGTCTTTGCAAGCCACAATGGCAATAGCATCAATGCAACGGCTCACTAATTTGACCTTCTCTGCTGTTGGAAGAAGGGATTGAGACATATGCAAAACAGACACTGCCCCTGAAAGGCTTTTGAGTGCAACTTCATTTATGTAAGCCTCACTTCTCCCCACCAGGTTTCCAATAGCGTATTCCTCCGTCATCATGAGATACTCCGCTGCGCACCGGAGCATGACAATGTTCTTCATGTCGATCTCGAAGTTCATCCCGTAGCAGAACATGGCAGCTAGCTCGAACGCCTCGGCCCCGCCAGGACAATCATGAAGCTCAATACTTGTAGTAACATCACCATCACTTGATTCTGATACTAGTTTTCTTATGTGCCCACATTTTGAAACAAGAGGGAACTTCAAAACAAACAAAACTAACTTCAATTCATGTATCTAAGAACATCTAAATTGAATTTGAGTCGTTGTTGTACCTTATGCAAGGCGAAGGAGGCTTCCCCAACATGAACTGTGATATCACTTGGAATTTCTTGGGAAAAGATCCTAAACAAAAGCAGAATCATAAGAGAAAGTGATGAACTTCCATAGCAGCTAGTTTAATGAAGAAGAACATACCATTCACTGGTCCTCTTCATGGCTGTGGATTGAAGGTGTTTCTTATGTTGTTCAGGATCCGCCATGGGAGAGATTGAAGAACCTTGAAATTCATGATGGTTTCATCTCATCAGGAACTTTTTCACTTCAAAAATTCTTCATTTACTTCTGTAATGACACCAACATACCAAAATCTGCAGGCTCCCAATCATGAGCAGAAGGAATGGCATTTAGGGTAATAAAGGGGAAAAGGAAGGGCAAATTGGGAAGAAAGAAGATGGGGCTAAGAGCATGTGGTGTGGGCTTGGGAGATGAGATTGGGGGATGCATGTTGGGTGGAGCAAACACACCAAAATGCAACATCCACATATCTCAACTTCTTAATTTTTCAACAAAAAAGGGTTTAGTTTCTCTCAAAAACAATGTTACAAACTTATAATAATTTCCCAACACCAAACAACCAACTAACACTTCCCATTCAACAACTTTTCTCCCATTGCGTCCATTACGACTATAAACACAAATCTCTCGATCGTATTATTAAAATATAATCTATTGTTAAGGGGTTAAAAAAATTCATGAAATTTTTTAAAATTCTAGATTCAAATATGAGTTACTTTGTTATATATATATATATATATATATATATATATATATATATATTTAGGGTGTTAATTTATTGTTTTTTTTTTTAAAATCTATTTTAGATTTTCCTTGATAAATTTTAGAAACATAGTCTTTTTTTTTTTTTCATTCTTAAAAATTATTTTCATTATTATTAAAAAAAAAGAGAGAGATAAAAATTTACTTCTAATTAATTTATTGAAAATATATGAACTAAAGTACAAAAATAAATAAATGAATCCATCTCAATCTTCAATAGATGAAAGTAAGAGAGAAAAGTAGAAACAAAATGTTGGGGATAGTGGGTGGGACTATGAGGGTGATGGGAGTTTGGTCTTCAATAAATGAATGAGGCCAATTGGTGGAATTGATAAGAACCCTTGTATTTATGATTATGATGATATCAATTCATGGAGTTCGTTCAATTTTGGATTGTTGCATGAAAACAAATGAAATAATTATATTCATGATCATACTTTCCGATCAAGTCCTTAAATCCCTTTTATCCAAACAAAAATATGGTTATAGTCACGTCAAAAGAAAAATGAATAAGACTAAATAAAGTTTATCGAGACATTCATAGAAAATCAGTCGGATCATTCTTTTCATTAATGATTTTAACAACCATAATCGAATGTAAACAGCTTTTGAACCATTAAAATTTAGAGATCGAGATCATACTTTAATAAAGAGCATTCTCCTGTCTTTCTCGTCCATTATGTGTAAGGGCACAGCTAGGGCTCCCTTTGTACCCATAAATAATTGTCATATCAAATAAGACAAAGAGGAGATGTCAATTCAAACTTATATATGCATGTCAAAGTCTCTACCATGCAAGTTCGTTTGCCAAAATTTGAGCCACAAATGGAAATGAACATCTTCCAAAAGCCACCAAACCTCAAAAACAAAATGTCCCCATCCCACATGGGTTTGCTTTTAGTATAGTATGAAATTTCATTTGGCCCATCTGCTTTATTTTGTTGTTTGATTGATGCCCAAATGCTATCTTTTTTTTTTTTAATATCAACAATGACAATATTGTTCGACATCTTACTTCTTTTCAATTTTGTTTGTGTTGTTGTATGAGTTTTGGATGCATCATACATGTTAGTCATTGTAACGATTTGAATTGTAGGAGTTTTTATGAGTGATTACTATATGTTTGTTGGTGAAATTTTGTGAAACTACTTATTTAACTCATGATTAAAACCATTGTTCGAGAAAATGGAAGAGATTTGCATAATTAATGTCACAATTCAATTTTTGAGGCTTCGGAATCATGATGAAAAGGTAGGACGAAATCAAATTAAAAAATGTGATAAAATTTCATGCCATTTAACACCAAACAACACATCAAGAGAAAGATAAATCAAAATTAGTTATGAACCAGCATTGTAAAAAGTTATTTACAAAATAAGG